TCACTTCGAGATAAGTCTCTATAATCTTCTTTCCACTCAACATCAGTGACCCAGACTGAATCTCCAAGCTGGACCTTATTTACAAAACCATCACATTTCTCAACAAAATCATTTTTTAGCGTAACGAAGTGGGGCCACTTCTTGTGTGCCTGAGGACGAAGTCGTACTCCGACGACAGAATTTTCCTCGACCTGACAAACAAGGTAGCCTACTACCTGCTTTTCCTCATCCTTCTTTTCAGATCCTTTTTCCTGCCGAAGCACATTTTCATAGACGACCTGACCATCTATTTCCATTTCATTTATAATCCTTTTATGTGGCGAACCACTACTAATGCTCATGTTGCTTGTGGACTCGGTAAGTTCATCGACATTTTTCGAAGACGAGGATGGAGGACAATTTGGAGGACTATTTACAGAAGAAGAAGAGGCAGCGGCGGACTTGTTGGCGGGTAAAGGAGCCTTTTCCCCGGTGGACTTTGACGATTTGGGAGGAGTGGGGGCCTTCTTTGTGGACGAGAGTGGGGGAAAATCTACAAAGTTATTCAGATCCAGAATTTGTTGCTGCTTTTCCATTTCAATTCCTAAATTTGTTGAATTAGTTTTTAAAACACTATTTATTTTTCATTAATTTTAATTCAATTTTAGAATTTATCAGGTTTATTCAATTTATTTATAGTTAGGTGATTATTAGGGAACGGATTTATATGGACTATCAATCGAAAAATATGGACATATAATATGGACTAAAAATCTCAAAATATGGACTGAAATATGGACTAAAATCCAAAATATGGATCAAATATGGGCCGAAAATTCAAAATTTTTATCGCAAAATTTCCATTTTTAAACAGCAAAATGTTTATTAAGCTAATTTTGATCTTAATTTTACAAATAAATCAATTTATAGTGATTATTTTGTTTCTAAAAATATTCTGGATAATGTTTGAGGCGAAAATTTTGTGAAAAATTTCGTGGAAAAAAAGGATTTTGAGAGAAAAAAAAACAAATTTTTCAAAAAAAAAATTTTCAAAAAAAAATTTTTCCGAAATTTTTATAAAAAAAATTTTTTGCTCATAAAAAATTCATAAATTTGAAAGTTTTGACCAATTTTTTGGCAAAATTTAACAGAAAATGACGAAATATGGACGAAATATGGAAAATATGGAAGGAACGCCAAAATATGGAAAAATATGGAAAATATGGATTGATAACTCATTATTGGTCTTATCAACATATGCTAAAACTATGTTTTTTGGGCGTTTCAGAACCCAACTAGGCCAGGGAGAAAAAAAATATGGAAATCCATATAAATCCGTTCCCTAGTGATTATAAATACTTAAACTACTAACTAAGAAGCCTCGTTCGAATATCGGTCAGAATGATGCCCAATACATTCTTTCCAGGCCATCTATTCTTCTCAACAATCCTAGGCGAAGAAATGTCGACACCGCATCCCCAGTATAGATCACGGGAGGTCGCTTCGACCAAAAGAGATTGTCCAGTTTGGAATAGCAATTTTCGTAAATCCGGGTTTTGACGATATTTGAACCAATTAGCTATGGCCATAATTAGAATAGAAACACGTCTCCATTTATAATGATCAAAATTTCGAATTCGTGAGCCTATTCGTTTTATTAAAGCTGCATTTTTGGTGGAGAGAATTGATTGTGCTGACTCAAAATCATTAAACAAAATAGCTTTGTAGAACATATAGTACTGTTCCGTACAACAGAAATCAATTCCATCGATTGTAAATAGACAATTGAAGTGATTAGAGAATACGAAAACTTTAGTGAAAAACAACGCTAAGTCAGTGCCATCAAGAGCTTTTTTGATGATGGGAGATTTCATTACTAAAAATTTTAATTCAAACAACTAATTTAATGAAAACAAATATTTAGAGGAAAAAAAAATTTTTTTTTTTTTTTGTTTTATTTAATTTAAATTTTTATTTTAATTACTTTATTGTATTGTTTGTTTTGATTTAGTTTATTTAATTTAATTTAAAGTAATTTATGTTTTATTTATATTATAATTTTTAATTTTATTATACTTTTTATTTATTTATTATTTTTTTTTTATATTTATATAATATTTTTTTTAAAGTTAATTTAAATTTTAAATCCATTTGATAGCCGAAGCAATTATAAGTATTTTCTGTTTTGGACTTTTTCTTAAATTATATCTACTTAGTCCCTGGCGACCTACTACTTCAACCTGACTACCTTCTGCTACCTCTAAATTTGGTTCAGCTACTTTACTGTGCGAGAATCCAGGCATGTTAACTATTTCCTCTGCACCAGATTCTTCTAACGCTTCCAACTCTTCTGCCTCTAACCTAGGAGTTGTGCAAACTGGTTCAGTCGGGAGTGGTTCTATACACTTCTTTAACTGATTAATGTGAACGATTCTTGGGTTAGACTGAGGTGAGTTACAACTGGATATGGTTACATGAACCCCATTAATTTCAATCACTCTAAAGACGCCTTTCCAAGGGAGATGAAACTTTTTGGATGAGCCTATTTTACCAGTATAATTCCGAAGAAGAACTCTATCTCCAATTGTTACAGTGGGATTCCTAATAAGTCTATCATAATATGTTTTTGACCTTTGCTGTGCCTCAAAATTGGCTTCTGCTGCATATTTCCAAGCACTTCGTAGCGAAACTATCAATTTTTGTTTAATTTCTTGTTCGTCATTCAATGCTACAGGATCTCTAACTTTGGGATCAAGAATTAAATCAACGCAAAAGATGGGATCTCTGCCGTACATCAGGAAAAACGGTGTTTCATTTGTTGACTGGTGGACCGATGTGTTATAACAAAAGTTGGCGAATTCCAGATGTTCATCGAAATCTGGCTGGTCTTTGGTAATATACTTTGCAAGAATATTATGGAAAGTTCTGAATGACCTTTCAGTCACTGCATTGCCTTGGCTCCAGTGAGGTATGGCATAAGTTTTATTAATATACAACATTGCACAAAGACTTTTGAAAAACTCTGAAGTAAATGCCGAAGCATTATCAGTAATTAATTCCGTGCAACCGCCGAAGCGTAAATAACAATTCCTGAGAAATGCCGAAGCAATGGTTGAGGCTTTTGCGTCTGGGATTGGAACAGATATAACAAATTTCGTGAACCAACACACAATGTTCAAAATATGTTTGTTACCAATTTGGGTTTTCGGAAAAGGACCCGCTAAGTCAAGACCGACTTTGGCAAAAAGTGTGTTTACAGGTGGTGTACACATCTCTGCCCTATAAGGCGGATTTGGAGAATGCCTAAGCTGACATGTGATGCATTGTTTATGCCAAGTCATAATGTCTGAATGCATTCTTGGCCAAAAATATTTTTTGCATTTTTTCAAGGTCTTACTAAAATCCATATGACCTCCACCTAACTTGGTTGTGTGAAACGAGTCAAAAATCATGGCTCTTAAAGAAATGGGTATGTAAATTCGCGGCTTTGCATCTTTATAATGATGGTATAAAATATCACTTTCTAAACATAAATCTTTAGCTAATTTAGTGTAAGAGTCTTTCTCTTCCTCACTTAACTCTTCAGAAAATTTCCCAGTTTTCAAAAATTTAATTAAAATTTCAGCTTCGGGGTCTTCCATTTGTTCAGCTTTTATATCTATCTGGTGTACTTCCCCTTCCATAGACCTTAGTGATAAAGTTAACCCACCAAAACATTCATGGACTACCCTAGGCTTGCTCTCAATTGCTAAACACACAGGAAATTCAGCTATATCTTCTAATTCTTGAATCTTATCAACTTCTTCAGGGCTTAAGTCTTCGTGTGGAATCCTGGACAGGGCATCTGCTAAGGTATTTTGTTTACCCGCAATATGAACTATATTAATGTTATAATTTTGCAGTTCAACAAGCCACCTAGCTAAATGTTGGTGCGTCTCAGCTTTCTTTAAAAGAAATGCTAAAGGCTTATGGTCAGTATGAAGCTCAATACTAGACATAAAAATAAACGGTTTAAACTGCCGAAGTGCAAAAATTATAGCTCCAAGTTCAATTTGAACTGGAGGCCAGTTTCTTTCAGCGTGTGATAAAGTGCGACTACAGTAACAAATTACTCCATAGGCCTTCTTTTCTTCATCCCATTGCATAAGGGCACCCCCTTGTCCGACTTGGGAGGCATCGCAAAATATATGAAATGGCTTAGAATAATCCGGAAAAATTAAAACAGGTTTCTCCGACAAAATTTTCTTTACTTTATTAAAAGCTTCCTGCTGCTCTTCGCCCCAAATAAATGGCTTTTCTTTTCTTGTTAACCTGGTTAATGGCTCAACAATCATAGAAAAATTTTGTACATGCTTCCTAAAGAAATTCGCCATCCCTACTACGTGCCTGACCTCCTTCACCGAGGTTGGTTCCTTTAAATTCAAAATAGTTTCAGTTTTTCTTAAGCTAGGTGTATAGCCAGCTTCATTTACAATAAAACCAAGAAACTCCATGCTTGCCGAAGCAAAGGTGCACTTTTTGGGACTTAATTTTAAATTGAAGCGCCTGAATCTTTCAAAGACACTTTTGAGGGCTTTAATATGCTCATCAAAATTTTCAGACTTTGTAAAAATTAATATATCATCAACATAAGCAATGACATTTTCAAGTCCAGTAAGTACATGAGCCATTATTCGCGCGAACGCACTAGTAGCATTTTTAAGTCCAAATGGTAAATTTATCATTTGATAAATTTTATCCTCAGTAATTACACCACATTTTCTTGAGGCTCTTTCACTAAGCTTAATTTGCAAATACCCGCTAGCAAGGTCAAGCGATGAATAATATCTGCAATTACCGACTTTTTCTAAAATTGTTTCAAGTCTTGGGAGAGGAAAGTGATCAGGTACTGTCACTTCATTTAATTTTCTAAAATCAATGCATGGCCTAAGCCCACCATCCTTTTTCTGAACTAAAACTATGTTCGAAACCCAAGGGGTATCAGACTCAACCATCACCCCTGAGGCCAATAGCTGGTCGATATGCTTTTGCAACTCATCTCGATACTTAAACGGAACCCGATGAGGCCTAGAGGCAACTGGTTCTTCAGATGTTGTGATTATATCGTGCTCGCCTGCTGTGCAACTCCCTATGTCATACTGGCTTTTACTAAATATATCTTCAAACTCATTACAAAGTTCTTTTAATTTATTAAGGTCTTCACCCTTTACAGTGGCTTTTTCGAAGTCAATCTTGAAAGTTTGATCAATAGTCACCCCTGACTTCCCTAGAGAAAATATTTCCTGTGTTTCATCACTAAAGTTAGTTTCTGCTAAAATATTTTCAGATTCAGTTTTTAGTACTTCACTTGCTAGCCCTAAGGTCCTTCCCTTAAATAATCTTTTAGTTGTGCCTGTTGGATTGGCTAAAATAATTTGCACTACACCATCCTTTGGATTGGTTACTACTGGAACAAAACTTATACCTTCTTCTTCAAGTCTATCATCCATTGAGTGAATCCAGATATTATGCCTAAGCAATTCAGGGAAATTAATTTTAGCTTTTATTACACTTTGCTCATTGGGTCTTATTTCACAAGTCTCTAATGCGTGTATTTTGAGATTCCTTAGAGGCCTATTTATTCTATTTTCAATGCATATTTGATTTCCTTCTATACAGAACATTTTATTTTTCAAATCCACAATAAAAGGAGGCAACTGCGCTAGTGCATCGCACCCCATAATAAAATGATAATCATGGTTATCCCAGTGGAACTTATCATTAAAGAGATGGACCACTATTTCTACTACCACTCCAGCAATGTTTAATTGGACCCTAGTAGCTTGCTTTGCACACATAGAATGTTCGGAAGCACTTTGGAGGTACGTTTCAGTTCGAAAAATTTTTCCCAACCACTCTGCTAAAGCAATGTTAGCTACTGAGGTGATTGCTCCAGTGTCTATTAAACATTTTACAGGTACAGTATTTAAGGAGACATCAACTATTACTGTGTTAGCACTCGCTCCCAGCGTTCCTATAAATCCACTAGTTCTATTAATTCCTAAAGTTGACCTAGGTCTTGTGCTTATGGTGCTTCTTGGTAAAGTGTTAGCATTTACTGTATTCCTTATTGATGGAGGCCAAGAGATTGACAGTGGCCTATTTACCGGTTCTTCATAAATGTTATCTAATTCTACAATGGGTTCTGGTACACGTTGAATGTCCAATCTTCTCTGTGGAATCGGAGCTTTTGGTGTTTCAGGGCCAAATATTAGTCTACCTAGGCGTCCATTTCCAGCATACATTTCAGCAATAATCATTGCGAACCTTATTCCAAAGTCTAGTGCTAAAATTACTACTAAAATTGAGACAATGGTTTCCCAAATGCTTTTATAGTCCCCTATTATTCCCTTTTCAATTTGATTTTCAACTTCCTGCCACTCATTAGACATTGACGTGGATATAATAGAATCTTTTTCGTGAATTTGGTAAGTCATTTGACTTACTTTTATTAAATTACTTACAAATGCGTGATTTTTAATGTCTGTCATGTTTAATAAAACTAGTTGATGAAACGCATGCGACTCAATATTTGGAATAAGGCTAGTAAAATTAAATTTGGCTTCAGGCCATAAAAATATCCTTGGTTTTACCGAAGTAATTCTTCCTTCAACTTGATCAACTTCTAAGACTTGATCATTAATCTGTATAATTATATTCCTAAATTCTTCACAGGGACCCTTTTTGGATGTTGGGGAAACGATCATTGTTATAGGATCGACAAAAGCCAGATGCTCCTTGCTCTCAGTTTTCAAAATAATTGGCAAGAATTCAAAACATTGGTCTAATTTAGTGGGAGAAAATTCATAATCTTCTTTTTCTAGAGGTACACATGGCCAAACTTTCATTAAAGATCTAGCGGACTTCTTTGCAACCAAATAGGAATTGGAAAAGAGCGAGCGAGCCAAGTCAGTTGGATCCGACATGTACGTAGATTCTATCCAATGCTTTACCATTTCAGTAAATTCACAAAATGACCTAATCGATTGCGCGAACGCAAAATTGACTGCTTTAGTAAGAGCGGCATCTAAATATGTGAGCTGAGACGCTAGTTGCGAAGAAGTTACAAGTCCATCGGAAAATGTTCGCTTATATGATCTATCCGTACTTCGCTTCTTCCTTGAAAGTTCCGAGGTTGAAATTACTATCGATCCTAGACCTTGATCAGAGACTGAAATGTTCTTTCCACAATCATGAATGAATGTTTCATTTTCAAACGTTAATCCAAGCCGACCATCGTCAGACAGCCAAATCGGACCCATACATCTACCTTCTTTTTCACCAATGGGAATAAAATTGCATTTCCTTTGATTGTCCACTTCCCAAATTAAAACAGTTTTATCTTCCAATATACAATTACCCTTAGTATAAGGGCAGTCCCTAGTTAATCCTAGCGGCGTTACAACCTCTTGTGCACCGAAATGCGAATCAATTCTGCTCTCAAATAGGAAACAATTTTCACTCGAAATATTTTTCCAAGAAAATGATCCCATAAACCACATCCTGGGTGTTAAATCAATTTTATTTTCAGTTTGCCAGAAATTTTTATTATCCTTAAGAATGCCGAAGCTACAACTATGATGCTTTATCATCTGATTACACTCTTCTACAGACAAATCTAGCTCTTCATGAATTAATTTTTCTTCAACTGAGACTCCTGTTATTGTTGTGTATTTTCTCGCATTTTTCTTTATCTTTCTACAGGCCCACGCTTTGGTTGAAAATTCAATACTATTTGGGACATAAATTCTCCTTCTTTCTACTACCGGAGTATGCTTAGCTGTTAAATTAACCATGGGACAGCTAGGAATTTCAGGCATTTCCCAAATTATTGCCTGTTTATGTGTTTGACATATCATTGGTCCCTTGGGAATTAATACAGGATTAATCGCAAATGTACTACAAAACATTGCAATTAACAGAAGAGTGGTTCCCATAAGCGAAGGTATTCTTACTCTACGACCTTTATTTTCCCAACTAGGAATTTTATTTGGTTCACACTTTTCATTAGTACTTTTAGCTTTTTCAGGTGTGCTACTAGACTGTACTGGTTGCAATGACCTTATATTCCCTTGATGATTAGCCGAAGCATGGTTTGCATTCATTCTCATTTCATGCATTTGAATTACTAAATTATCTAGCACTTCTCTAATTTCTTTATTTTCTCTATTTCTATTATCTCTCTGATAGTTATTTCTATTATTAAAAGAATTATTTTGCCTGCGTTCTCTACAATTGTATTGATCATGCCCTGTTCTGCGGCAAAAGTGGCAGAAAGGTCGGCTATTCCACCTTCTGTCATTTTGCGGACGCCATTGATTTCTTGCCTGATAGCTTCCATAACCTAATCTTTGCGCGTTGCTAGATGTTGCATATCTGTTCGAAACGTTCCTATTATATCCCCTAGAGGTTTGCGGACTATTATTTGTACTTATTGGTCTCCAAGTTGTGAATCTTCCTTTAGGCAGCTGCTGACTATGCATATCTGCAATAGCATGGATACCATCATTACCGGTTCTTCCTTCCCTTTCAGAAGCAACTTCGAGTTCCTGTACATAGGCAGTTAGCTTATCAAAGTCTTTACGACCAATAAGTGGTCCTACCATCTGAAGGGTTCTTTGAAACTCAGGCCTAACTTTTTCTGTAAAGCATCTACACAATATTTCTTCCCTTACTTCTACTGGTATATGAGGCGTGGTTGCGTTTACTAAAGGTACTAATCGCTTAATAAAGTCACTAACCAGTTCACCTTCCCTTTGGAAACAAGCTGCTAACCTTTTATGAGCGAGCTCTCTAAAATGTGGACTGTCTAATTTTGCTCTAATATTTTTAATTACATTCTCTATGGTACTTCGTTCACTTGGCAATAAACTTTCAAAAATATGGCGGGCTTGCGTACCCAAGTTTAATTTGAGTCTATTTATTCTATCAGATTCTGTCCAGTTTGTTCCATATACATCAAGATAATCTAAGAACCTAATAGTCCAATCATCAAAGGAAGATGCAGTTTCTCCCATAAATAATTCCAAGTGAGATCCCGAGGAGGTACCTTCGCCTAAAACATTTAATTCAGAATTAGAACTTGTGGGTTGTGTTCGTAGACCATTATTACTACTACTTTGTATTTGACCCATTTTATTCCCGAGGGAGTTTGTTGCAAAGTCAATTCGGTTCAGAGAACCAGAAACTTGATTGTGTTTTGGCGGTAACGGTGGTATTTGCTCTGGACGTTTGCTGTTATTTACAATCCTATTTGCATCACTATTCCTTAACTCATCATATTCAAGATTATCCCTAGCTTCTAATTCACTTTTAATACTTTCAACACTTTCCTTAATTTTATCCATTTCTTGCCCGAGGGCATCAACTCTGTCAGCTACAGCCTTAAAACCCTTATTAGTATCTTTTTCTATTTCATCCAGAACTTCATTCGTTTTATTTAAATCTCTGTTCAAAACCCTGAGATTTCTGTTTAACCCATCCTCTAACATAATTATGTCTTGATGAATCTTACCTAAATCATTTAATTTCGCAGGATTACTCAAAACTTTCCCCTCAAATAGCTTTTTATCCACAACACTTAGATCAGAATATTCTTCCATTTAAAATTATTTATTTTATCTTTTTTTTTTAAATTTATTTTATTTATATAAGATTATATATTTATTTATATTTTTTTTTAAATTTTATTTATATATTTTTATCACCCTTCTCAAATTATATATAGTATATTATATATAGGTATATATTTATTTTTTTTTTATTTATTTATTTTTTTTTTTATTTAAACTTTTTTTTTTTTTTTTAACAAGTTATTAAACCCACTTTAATTGATGAGAAGAACACACAAAATAAATTATTTGAATCCAGAAAATAGCCGAAGCCAAATTAAAATCCACTAAGTCAAAAGAAGAGCTGAATTTGGAGAGAAAAAAAATTATTTTTATTATTATTTTTTTTTTTATAATACCGTATTTGCTAAAATAATTACCCAGGGTAATTATTGTTTCGACCTCTCGCCGGAGGTGGTAATTAAAAAAAGGAAAGGCTAATTATTTTTCGATCCCTGACTGCATGGGGTAATTAATAGGGCGGGGTAATTATATGAGAGGGACATTATTTCAGCACTTACGGTATTTGTTTTTAATTAGTTTTAAATTGAATCTTAATTAATAAAATTAAATACTAATATTGAAAGAAGAGGGGAAAAAAAAACTTCATATAAAAAAAATCGAAGAAAGAGAAAAGAAATTTTTTTTAAAGCGAGGTAGAAATTAGAGATCGGTGAAATAACATTTGCAGGATCCTGTATCAGGCTTGGGTTTTAAAGTTTCGAGTAGGAAAGAACCCTGCAGAATTAATCCTGAAAATCTTGAAATCCGGCCAATCCTGAAAACTGAAAAAAAGGATTTCGGACAGGATCCTGAAAAAAAAATCCTGTGCGGGATCCTGCCCTGTGCCCTCTAGTAGAAATGGTTCTATCCAGAAAAGCTTAAAAAAAAACTAGACCTAGAGTAAAAAACAGGTTAAACAAAATCAGTAAACAAACACGCCAAAAAAAAATTTAAAAAAACACAATAATTAAACTTTTATTATTTGAATGAAAATTGGTGCCAAAAAGGAAAAAGAAGAAAAATTAAAAAAATATTTTATTTCTTTTTTTTTGTCTCGGTAAACCCTAAAGTGA